CCCCTCAGGGCAGTCCTACTGACAGAAGTGTCTTTAGGCCATTCCCAAAGGAGGGATATTAACATGTTCTTATTCACAGTAGAATTGTAAAAGGGCTGATTTATCAATGTCATGCTCATACAGTGCCGGAACAACATAGTGGGAACTGCTGCTTTTTGTTTCCTCATCCTTACTGTTGTCAGTTTCCTCTACTTCTTTTGTATATGTTTGTCACTCTCTTGTGAACTGCTATTTCGGGATGCCTTGATAGTCGAAGCAGACTTTGTGCTGTTGAGGCTAGAGAGGTGAGCAAAGTAAGCCTGATTCTTGGTTTGGACATCTCTGTTGACATCCACCCCTTGGCGCTCATATGGTGACCTTATGCAGTTGCGAGCACCGTAAAATCTTACTAAAACACAAACAAGAGGATAGGCATTAGGCACTTTGGAGTCACACGAAGGATACAAGTTCGATTCCCGAGTGAGGAGAAAATATTTGATCTAGTATCTCGGTCTTTATATTGAGATGTTGTGTCCCTCTCAGCTAGGGTAAGCCTTGACCGGCAGAGTGGGAAGCCTTGACCGGCAAAGTGGGAAGCCTTGACCGGCAGAGTGGGAAGCCCGCCCCTGAGATGGTCTAAATTGTGTGGACACGGGCGTAAAAACACCTACATTAAATTGGTTTTAAAAACTAAAAGTAAGTTTAAAAAAAAAAGAAAATCAATGTCAAAATTTGCTGACAGACTGTATTGAAATCTGAGTCGTATTGTCGGCAGTTAAATAATCAGATGTGAAATGCACAAAACTCAAACATTTTTCAGCTCCAAATCAATAGCGCACATCTTGATATGCATTACAGTGCACTTCCCTGCACACTACCGCAACAAAAGGAAAAAGAAAACTGGAAATCAATATTGTTAATCCTCATATTGATTTTGCCCAAGGTCCTGATTTTTTAAATTCATTTTAAAAGAAATTTGCTTATGTTGTATTTGTATATATATATATATATATATATACGTTTTCTAAAGGTTCCCCCATCCCCCCCTCTTCATAAATATGTGACAGATTTGTGAGCCTACATTTCTTGCCTTGACAGATTACAGAAGATGTTATTGATTCAAATGTTTGGCCGTCTGTGTTTATTTTGTTGGAATGTCTACTTTTGTTATATTGCTTTATGATTAGCTTTTAGTCCATATTTTTGCAGTGTCTGTTTTTATTGCAATGTGTACTTTTAAAAATTTATTGCTTTTATTATTGATTTGTATACCTCTTCTGTTATGGGTATTTAAAGGTTAAAAAAATCTCTCGTTTCTACTTCTGTTTTGTGGGTGGTTGGCGGGTGCTCTGGTGTGGTTTGCTCCTTCTTTCCTATCAAACATCTACTCTCCTTATCTCTCCCCCTTCTTTTTTGTGTATGTTACTCTCTTGTAACACATCTATTCGTCGGCGCTTATATGACCTTATTGTGTTGCAAGTGCCGTAAAACTCTTACCAAAACTAAACTACATCTCTTTTTCTTTTCTTTTTTTTTTTCCAACGCTGTATCATGTTTTACCAGCATTCTTTTTTTTCCAACGCTGTATCATGTTTTACCAGCATTCTTTTTGTTCCAACGCTGTATCATGTTTTACCAGCATTCTTTTTTTCCAACGCTGTATCATGTTTTACCAGCATTCTTTTTGTTCCAACGCTGTATCATGTTTTACCAGCATTCTTTTTTTCCAACGCTGTATCATGTTTTACCAGCATTCTTTTTGTTCC